ATTCCCCCTCCAATTATACCTTTTGAATGAGTTCCATAATTTTTTTTATTTTTGTTGAATATATGTTGATTTTTTCTTGAAAAAATCGAAGAGGAAGAGAATAATAAGTAAAATTAAATGGCGGAAGAGAAGCCGACCTCGAAGCCGGCGTTGCAGAGACCCCCGGGATACCGCGACCCAGCGGCGGCGCTGCCGGGAGTACCGAGGCCGCCACCACGGCGGCAACCGCTGCCACCGTCTTTCCGCCGCCCCGGAAAGCCGCTGCCTCGCCACCGCCGCCCCCGGCGCTCCTGCTGCTGCCGCATTTGCTGCTGGGCCTCCGCGGTGGCCCTCGTCGCGGCCGCCCTCTTCGCGGTCGCCACAGCGCTCGCCTACCTCTGGTTCCAGCCGCACCTGCCCTCCTTCCGCCTCGCGTACCTCAATGCCACCCAGCTCCGCGTTGCCGCAAGGCCCGACGGCACCTTCCTCGACGTGGCCACCCACGTCGGGATCCTCGCCACGAACCCCAATGGGAGGCTCGTCCTCGAGTACGGGGATGGGGAGGCGCGGATCGCGGTGGCGGACGACGACGGCGACGTTGCGGTGGGAACGGCGGCGATCGCTGGGTTTGAGCAGGAGAGGAGGAACCGGACGCTGGTGCGGTTCGCGGCGGCGGTGAAGGGGGTGGCGGTGGACGAGGTGGCCGGGGCGAGGATCCGGGCGGGGTTTCGGAGCAAGGAGGTACGATTCTTGGTGGAAGTGAGGACGAGGTTGGGAGTCAGAGTAGGCGGTAAGAACACGGGGAAGGTGCCGATCCGGGTGGGATGCGACCCGGTGAGCTTAAAGCAAGGGGTGAGCGGTGGTACACTGCCGAAATGCCGGTTCTACTTTCTTAGATGGTATGCTCTCTGCTCCTATTTACTATTTCTTCTTACATTTTTTAGTGGATTATTGAGTTTAGGAAGTCCTTGTGCTCGAAATTTTACATTCGATTGGTTTTCATCTCCTTACAATTAGTTGATTTTGATCAGTTCTGATGATTGACATGTAAAACTTAGAACAAATTTGCCATGTTATTTTCAGGCTTTACATGCTTTTATTTGTGGTTATTTTAAGGGATGTTAAATTAAAAAGGAATATTAACTTTGTTATAATGAGATTTTTCTTAGGAAATTGATAAATATCATTGAGAAATCATATTCAACATGTTAGCCACAACATCAATTCATTTGGTTTTGTTGCTATTGGTTTTTTAAGATGGCTAGTAAGGTTGTGTTCAATTTGAGACTAAAAAGAAAAAGTGGCCAGTGCACAACCTTCCCACTTCTACAAGATCGGGTAAGGATCAATGTAAATTTTTGTGCCGAATTCTAGTCGCTTAAATAAGACACAGGTTTACCCTCAACTTGTGCCGAATTCTTAGCCAAAAACTTGTGCATGATTTTGTATATCGAATCTTGAATGAAAGACTAGAAAAGTTTGGTTTGATTGGAGCTTTCATGTTCCTTAGGTTGCACATGGTTCTGGTGCCTGGCATGATAGATAATTTCCATGTTTGATCAATCTGGCAATGGAACCACATTTTTAGTGAAATTTATTGAAACTACTTATATTGCTAGCATTATTTCTTAAGAAATTCATTGGCATATACATAGTTCCTATGTCCTTATTCTTCACAATATTCTAATATGCTAGTGAGTTCCTCTTTTACCGTTATCTCCTGGTGGGTAGATCTCAAACTGGTAATAGGACTGTTCTGGATTCTTGCTATCATCATCGAATCGTTGGACTTTGATTGGAGCAGTACAATGATTATTAGGTATGAGGTCCATTAAGAGTAGGGATGCCTCATAGCAAGTGACATTATAAATGTAAAAACAAGTCTTCTATGGTAATATGTGTGATTCCAGGCCGACCATGGATGCCTTTTTTGGGAGCCTTTTTCGCGATGACTTAGTTACATTTACGGAACCTTTTCTAGGGTCCATTTTGGTTTTTAATATTTGCTGAATGATTTCTTTCTCTCAGGAACGGACTGATTAAGAATATTCCATCAATGCTTATCTACCTACCTAAAAGCATATTCGAAGATGAAATTCTTGTAATTGCAAAGAACTTCATATGTTGTTCAACTTATTCTAGTGGACTTGGAATGAGTAATCAGAGAATTTAGTTATGGAGCCTTGGCCTCGCCAAATATAAAAAATATGCATGTGCTGTGGTAGTGTGTTCCTTTCGTAGGCCCCCCACGGAATCTAAGAAATGGACAGTGCTGATGATTGACCTTACACCGATCTCAACAAGGCATGGTCTTGCTGGTAGAATTTGATTCTTTTGTTTTATTATAGTATTGCACTATCTTTTGTTTGATCAGGAATGCACTAATTTTGTTACGCGGGCAAGGGGGTCCGAGGAAGATAATATATTCTAACGATGTTTATCTACAATTTGGATAGAAATATTACCGGCAGAAAATGTGTAAGATCATTTGGCACACTCACATTTGATGGCAAAATGCTGTTAGATCATGTCCAATTTACTGGCAAACCTACTGTCCTGGTTGAGCAGGTAAGGAATATAGATTAGTCTTGTGCTAGCATCAATTGTCGGTGGGTTCCGTTTCGTCAGTTCTGTTAATCTTATTTTCAGCTCTTCTGTGTCCTTTATATTCTCCAATTTTGAACCTTGGATCGTTCATATACTATTCGTAGATCAAATTTGATGAGCATTGCATTCTACTGAGAGGTGATAACATTCTTCTTGTCTGACAATTTCAGGATTAATCTACGTTGAGACGGCTTCCGAGTTGTATGCTTGAAGGAGATGGCATTAGCTGTTGCTGTAAATTGAATTCATATTTGTTTTCCGTTTATAAGCATTATTAGTAAGGGAATCATCTTTGGGTTTGGCTTCAACCTCTCAAATTCACATCGAGCTCACACTGTATCTTCATAAAAAAGGTTTTCATTTACACAAACGATCACCGAATACTTTCTGTAATGGACACTTCGACTTAATGGTGTGGATCAATTTGTGTTCTGAATAAGAAGCTGCTGTAATTTGTTTATGAGATAATGATGGGAATGAGAAAACATTCTCTAAGATGGTGCCATTAATCATGAGCGTGACATCTGACCACATCGGTGGGAAATAATGTGTGTATGAAAGTGTTTGCTAGCTACTCTTATTGGGGGAAGGTGTACTACTCTGGAGGACCCTGTGATATCCAATGATGTTTGATTTCGCCAGAGTTCTTGCTCTGGTTTATATGTAGAGAAGCTTTTGTCATCATGCAGAATGCATTAGACTTTCTACCTGCTCGAATCATGTTGGACATTGCGCATGATATGTGCTCCTTTCACGCCCTGACAGAGTAATGATTCACAAGCCATGTCGTGGGACGGACAAGGGCGAAGAGCAGCACCACCATGGAAAAAGCTTCGAGAGGCACGGTGGATGGTATGATGCAGCATGATCGAAGAGATTGGCTGCCTCCATGTCGATATGTATGCAGTCTTGAGGAAGGCAAGACATGGTTGCTGCTGGCATTAGATTTGGTGTGTGTTTCGACACCACTGAGATGCTTCACAGTCGGTGTTACTGTACTTGTTGCTCCTTTACGTCAGATCAAACGTACGGGAATTGGGTGTTCCATAGCTATCTCCACTGTGCGATGGTCCCTCACGTTAGATTCCCTCGATACATTGTGGAAGGAACTACATCGATGGACATCAGCATGGCGTCCTCTCCTTTTGTGCTCCGTTGACCTGGTCATGTTAAAGTCAACATGTCAAGGCTGAAAGTAAATGGTTAATGTCATTGATTACGTGAGACATTAATTTTCTCGGAGAAAGCAGAGTAGTCTCCTACGAGTTAGGGTATCGTTATTGCCGGTGGTCAACGTACAAAGCTTCCTTATCCATTCGCTGCCATTCGCGTTCTCACTGATAGCACAAACTTGCCGGGTGCTATAGAAAGCCAAGCAACCACAAAACCTGAGCACTCCTCCATCGGCAGTAGCAAAGGAGGGGTAATTAATTGCTTGGGAGGGGGAAAGAAAGCAACACTGCAAGACATGCGTGTAACGTTACAGGCTATGCATGCCTGGGACACGTGGAGGATCTAATGGTAGGATTCTGGCATTACTGAGCCCTTCATAAATTAGTGACAAATATGGTTCTTATATAGACGGTGCGAACAGAGCCATGTCTCTTATCTCTGTAGCTCTCCACATAAATTATGGCCCTCAAACAGTGAACACTGTGTTCTTTGCAGGATTTGGAGGCACCCGAATCCATGTCCTGTTACATTTAACTCCCTATTATTCTACCATATCCATGAGAAAGAATCCCTGAGAGAAGTCAGTCCCTTCGAATATTATACATAGACCTACTCATTACTATATCACTTTGGCATTCACATTCATGCGGCTGTCTCATCTTACGATATTGCCCAAGTTTGGAGTTCGGCCAACGCGAAACTCTGAATCACCTAGCAAGTCTTGTAGGGAAGATTAGAGAGCGGTTCTTCATCTTCTTCTTCTTTAGGAAGCCATACATACGTGCTTTCAAGATCTCTTTCTGGGACTTGTCGATGATTACGAGGTGTAAAATTGGACTCACTTGTTTAACTTGATATTAGCACTGCAGAGCACTCCTCTCGGTAATCGTATTGCAAACACAAATGCTTCATTCGTTGATTTATAGGCAGACATTTAGGATTCGGTGCTTCAGTGGCTGGTCCTCGTTCATGCATGTGTTGCAAGGAGTCCAAAGTAAAAGCCATGGCAGCAGGAGTATTGATCTGCTTGTTCATTTCAAAGACAGAGACAGCAGGAGACGACGACATATAGCCTGTGGGATTCGGCCAATACCGACGCATTTGGTCCAAATTGTTGTTCTTTTCTCTGCATGTTCATTTGCTGTGGGCTCTGTATACGTGCCATTCAAGGCGCCTATATGCCGATGACCTGCCGCAACTGTGCCCACATAGTATGTTTATGTCATCTGACGGAATCGGAATTTAAAGCAGGAAGGAAAAGGATTTCACATAATCCTATTGAGTCCGATCGTTTACCAACGAATATTCCGTCCAGTGAATATAGAGCAGCGAAAGGCGTTCTCGATTCCGTTTCCCCGCCGTTAACGCACGGAGATCTTTTAGGGCAAACTATATTAACTAAATATATTAAATAGAGCACAAAATAGATGGATAGCGCAAAAAAGGCGTAGTCTTCTCTTCCGCCGCTACAAAACGGCAGATTAGTCGGCGACCGCTGGACCGAGTCAGACGGCAGCGAGCGGCTCGATCGGGAATAAGTCGACGATATCTTGGAAATAATCGTCTCCTCCTTGCCACGTCGACGAGCCGAAGTCGAGGTCCGTGCCGAGGAAGATGTCGTTCAAATCGCCAGCTAATGGGCCGACCCGTGCGTCGTCGTCGAAAAGGCTTGGCTTTGTGGCTCCCAAGTCGTGGAATTCGTCGTGGAGCATCGCCTCGTCGAAGGGCAAAAGGCCGCTGAGCTGCCCCGGTAAGCTTCTCTCGGTGGTGGGCATACTGCCGCTCGCGTCGGAGTCCGTAGTTGTCGGCGGAGGCCATGGCGTCTCGGCGCCTTCCATGGACGTTGTTGTGGAGACCGCGAAGGAGGAGAAGCTGCGGAGGACGGAGGTTGGGGAGGAGAGGTTGCGAGACTCCTCGCTGGAGTCGTGCCCGCCGGAGATGGAGGTGAGGTTGCTGCTGGAGAGGCACTTCTTTGGCGGTGCGGTAGAAGCGGCGGCGGCCGGGGGACGGGAGAAGTTGGTGGTGGCGTCGGGGCCACGGAGTTGGATGGCGGCGGAGTCGTACACCTTGGCGGCCTCCTCGGCGGTATCGTACGTGCCGAGCCACACCCGGACGCGCCGCAACGGGTCGCGGATCTCCGCCGCGTACTTGCCCCACGGCCGCCGGCGGACGCCGCGGAATCTGCGCTCCGCCTCGCCGCTGCTGGACGCAGCGACGGCGGGGCCGGCGGCCTTCCGCTTTCTGGCGGGCTTGCTCTTGCCGACGGCCTCAAAGCGGGCCTGGAAGCGCACCTCCTGGACGTAGCGCCGAACGCGTCGGCGGCATCCCTCGTCACCGGAGGAATCGGTGGCGTCGTAGTCGTCACAGAAGATCCTGATGGTGCTTGGCCTGGCAACGTCGGAGTGCCGGTGGTATTGGCCCCACGGGAGGGTCTTCTGGGTGACGTCGATGTGCTCCGTTCGCTTAATGGGCACCATTAACAGCGTAACGTCCATGGCTCCCAAGTAGCTGTTTTCTGTTCTATTTAAGTTTCCTCGCATCAGCTTCCTCTTCTTTCCTGTAATCAAGTCAAAAAACACACAAAGACCACGCATCATAAGAATCTAATCTCGCTTCCTATGCTGAAAGCCAAACGAAAGTATCTATCAGGGAAGGAACAGCGAGAGTGCAAAGAGGAAACAAGAACGGGAAAGAAAAGCTTTGAGATATCATGAATGGAGAAGAAGACCTGCAAAGTTCGATAGATTTCATCGAGTACAAAACTAAGAAAAACTTCATTCGAGAGAGAGGACGAGATATTACCTCAAATAGAGAGAACAGAAACGGAGAGACTAAGCAGAGGGACAAAGAGAACGGGGGGTTCTAAAGGGGGGTTTTTGAATAGCCAACAAGTCTACCTCAAAAAAGCAACAATGGCACAGTTTGGTTGACGGCAGCACGGCGTGGTAGTGGCAGCAGCAGCAGCAGCGGCAGTGTCAGATAGGGTGGGGGAGTAGGAAGAGAAGCGGCGGCGGCAGCACGGAGTTCAACCAGCTCTGCTCTCCGTATGTCCCAGCCACAGAGCACCACCCGAGAAGAAGATAACGTGAGAGAGAGGGAGCGAAATCAGTATTCTTGGGTTGGTCTTCGTTTTGGGTTTGGTGTATCAGCCTTCGCTGTAGCAGCAGCTGGAGAGAGAGAGAGAGAGAGAGAGAGAGACGGGCAGAGGCGAGATCTGCAGTTTGTTTTATAAGATCCCACCACCACAGCGCTGCCTAAAACGTGACACCACCACCGCCACCACCACCACCACTGCATTGGAACGAGAGCGAGGCTGCTTTCAACACTCACTGGTTCTAATTCCCCTTTTTTTCCCATTTTGCCCATGTGATTTTTCTTCCTTAATTTCTTTGTTTTTTTCCCAGGAAAAGCCTTTATTCAAATACGGGGAAACTCCGGTAACCCACCGTAGACGGCAACAGCGTACGAGAGACACCGAGCCGCTGCGTCCGGATGGGACGCCGACGCGTAATGAATACGACTCTCTCCAATTCCTACAGCATTTCGGAACGTCGTCATTTCAATTCCTATCATAGAACAAAAATCCACCAAGAGCGACGCACATTGGACGTGCTTGAGAGGCCCAATCGAGCCCAATTGAGATTTTGGACTTGGCGTGCGATTAATTGTTTGATGACTCGGCCATGCAATGGGGGGAAGCGCGGCTTGCACAATTTGTCCTTTGGAGGGACCTTTCTGACAAATCTCACTGCCTCCTCCTCCTCATCTTTTTGGAGGCTTTCATGTGCTAATTACGAAGCCAAATAGCTTCGTCTTTCCCCTGTGTACTCTTTTGGATGGATCTTTCGTGCGTGCATGCCACGGAGAGGTCTCTTCTTTCGCAGAGGATCTCTGCTAAGGAGAATAAACAAGTGGAGCACGCAGGAATGATGATGAAGGCGGACCTGTTCAAGGTTTCCGAGGCTTCTTGTGCTCCTTTTCTCTCACGTCACATCGATCCGAATGTGCTCCTGTACATACCCCATGCGGTGTCTTGGATAAGATACAGTGAGTCCCACAGATCCAATGAGCAATTCATGGCGTCAGGAAACAAGTGGATTCTGCTGACGTGATCTTTGGGTGTTTGTCTTTGATGAAAATAAACAATCTAAGATTATATTGCTTATTTTTTTTCGACAATAAATGTTACAAATCCTAAATTTCGATTTAATCCAACGAAGGTGTATGTTTGGTGTCTTCCTAACGATGGGTAAACTCCGGCTTCCTAATCTACGCGAGAAAGGCATATACGTTTGATTTGGTTCTATGCAAAGGTCTCGCCAATCTATTTGGAGGTACCCACGGATAAAAGGACTTGCTATATCTTAGCATGAAAGCAAGGTTTAGGACCACCTGCGGTGATTTCTAGGAACTGTCCCTGAATCACGAAGGTTGTCCTATACAGATACATGAGATAACATGGCAATGATGGAAACTGCATATAGAGAGGGGAGCAACTCTGAGCTCCCATCAAGAAAAATAAACTATGTTCTTTAGATATGAACATAAAGGAGATAAAGCAGTCTAATTCTTGGATGCAGTGTAGAGACAAAGGTGTGTCAAACAAAGTGTAGGACTTTGAGCGGAGTAGTGTTAATGAAGAACCAACATTTATAGTTTCTATTGGCTTTGATGTCCCCTTGCTTTGTAGCTTCCTTCTTCGAACAAGGTAAAATGGAAGTGCTTTAGGAAAGCGGAAAGCTAGGAATGGTGCTGCCGACGGTAAAGCAATCAGGCGAACACGAACGTTATCCTTTTTTCTGGTTCTCGGTCCTCATCTACCGCCATGCTTCTGTATCTGGACTGTCGGGCTGCTTTCCTTGCCTTGTTGATGACTTGGGTGACCCCCGGCAGAGGCTTTCTTCGGACAAGTACGAAGGAGCGGCTGCTTTCCTTCCCTTGGTGAAGCTCCTCCAGACAACACATTAAACCTGCACCTTGGGTTTGTCATCTTCCACCATGCATCTATCTCCTTCAGGCTTCCACGTTCAAGGTACCACCACCCCGCGGGGTATCCCAAGCAGATTAGGCTCGGAGAATAACGCCATCCCCCATAAATTCCACCAGCTAACATGATCTCATAAATAACAGGTACCAGCTAAAAAGAACACTGGAGGTGCACAGGACTATCCACAGTCACGTTTGCAGCCTTTACTTTTACTCCCCCCGTCTCTCTCTCTCTCTCTCTCTCTGATTTAACGGCCTGTCTTGCTTTTCTTGGGACTTGGTGAGGTTGCAGATAAGTTGAGAGCGTTCTGGGTTCATGTGATGCTCTGTACCCAAGTGTGAGGATGTCTGGAATAGACTGGGCGAAAGATGATCCGAAGTCCAACACACTTCATTAGTGCTGCACATCTCCATGACTTCTCGTGTTGTAATGGTGATCACTACATCAGATCATCATCTTCTCAGATATGCTAGTCTCGTGCTCTTATTTTCTTCTGGCATGTGATGGAAGACACTGATCAAGGTTTCTTTTGGTTCACCGATCACTGTTTTCCTCGTCACTTCTTTAATTTGGAATTTTGCTTCACGCTAAAAGCAAAAACTTAGCTTCAAACATACAGAAAGATGAGCTTTAACTGCGTCCACAGACAAGAAGAAGATGCATCTAATTGCACCTCTCGATTCTGCAGGCTTTTCCATTTTTGGTTCTTTCCCTCTCCCCGACCGCAGACAGGAGTCCGTGACAGCAGCAGCAAGCGAAGTAGTTACGCTGAAGCTCGAGCGGTAATGGTGGACAGGACTCCCTACGAAGAAGACCTCTCACTCATCCGATCTCATTCATTCATACGCCAGAGTTGGCACGTGATAATGCTTCTGCATCCCCACGCACACGTATAAATGGAGCCCGATCACCATTTACTGTTGCTGCCTTTCAACTGTCATCAAAAGAGGAAGAAGACGATATTTTCCTCATTACAAGCATTTGATGGGAAGACAATGTCATATTTGAGTTTACGGCACAAATACACGTTACTGACTCTGTTCATCGAGGCCAAAATACATGTGCGAGTCATGCAAGGCATCAGTCAGCAGCAATCAATGCCGGGTGCTACCTCATGTTCGAGCAAAGAAAAGACTGTAGCACTCACTCATCAAGTACCCAAAAATATCTTTTCCCTGTTTCCTCGACAGGATGGATATAAGATTGACGATTAAATTCGGTCAACGCTTTCGTGATAGATCTCACTGAATTCGGTATTCGGTGGTGACGAGGACTTGCATGAAGCGAATCCTCACATGAGCTTTGCGACCTTCCACGAACAGCTCTGATCCTTGTGTGAGGTCACATAAAGATAACTAAGGCTCTACAGTGTTCTCTCATGGCTTGCAGTACACCTTTTGTTGGGCCACCAAAAAGAGGTCTATATATAGTTCAGCAACATGGCAGATCAATCAAAGAACAAGGGATCAGTTCACAGTTTCAATTAATAATTTGTGTTCCGGATGATATATTTACCAATTTTGATATTTTCTTAAAATCATATTAAATTAATGAAAAAATGAGGGCTTAAGTATGAAGTAAATTGATATGGTGTGTATAATTATTATTATTTATATAAAATGTATATTATTTTATTATTTAGCATATCATAATAACATTGGTTTGATTAACATATACAAGCAATGATAATGATATTATATTATGTTTTCTTGTTAATTATATTTATCCTTTTATAATTTTTATTAATTATAGTATATGCTATATATATTTATTAATATATATAATATAATATTACTCTGAACTGGTCTGATCCAAATGATCACAAAACAGGAAAACTTTTATTTTCAGAAAATCATCCTTAAGTTTTGGTAATAACATATTTAATTTTGTATACGGTCGAAAAACATTTAGTTTGAATTCAAATGTTGATTTTAATATTAAACAATTTGTTTTTTATTTTCGAAACGCAATTTTAACCAAACAAATTTTGATTTATTGGATCTGAAAATTCTAAAATGATGATGACGTTAGAAATTAGAAATGGCTGAGAGTCAAAACACTGATGAATCATATTTTGTGAATTTATTTTCAGAATGTTACTTTTCTTATTAATAACTCTGAGGACGTTCGAATCGATTTACGGTTATATATTTTAGATCACATAAATCTAAATTAATGAAATTAATAGATAAATTAATGAAACTAATTTTGAGCTTGAGTGGAGGAAATTAAATCATCCAAAGTTTGGGTTCAAGCATTTTGGATCGCACATTCTCGAGGTAATAAATCAATGAGTCGATTGTAGTATTCGGATCATGACGATCACATTTGGATTAAGCGAAGGAATTCTCAAGAACAAGCATCGAGGCGATAAGAATATACTAAAACACAGAGAAGGAATTACGACAAAGCAACGGCAAAGAATCCTTAAAAATCTACGACCAGCGAATACCGACCCAACTACACTCTGCACCACAATACAATTTTAGACAAGCAAGATCCATCAAGCCTCACTACGCCCTCATCCACTCCATGGAGATCTTAGAAGAGCCCCCATGTGGAGGATGCATCCGCAGCATGAATCAGGTAGGTGACGGTCAACGCCACCAGCATCAGCGCGTAGGCAACGCCTTGGTCGATCGACGTTCCTGCAAACAAGACCAAGATTGAATTCATATGTCGACCAAGAAATCTACAGAAAGATGTGTGTGATGAGGTGATGAGGCTGACCATCGCTCGTGGGGGCCGGAGCCGGAGCCGGAGCCTGGGCTTGTGCGGCGGGGAGGAGGATGCCGAGAAGGATTGCCACGAAGGCCACCAAAGCGAGACCCACCCAAGAACGAGAAGAAGCCATGTGTTACGTCTGTGTACTTATAGCGACGAGGACGAACACCTCTGTCTTCTCTCTCCCTCTAGCTTATAACAGTGTTTTGGGGAGCGAAGAGACTCAAGAGGAAAGGAAGGGGACGTTGATCTCTAACTCGGACGAGTTAAGGAGTCAGCGGCGTTCGCGAATTTATAGGACAGTATTGGACCGGGCGAAGGGATCCGCGAGCGACTACCACAACAGGGTTCTTTAAAAAAAAGACCAACCACAGGATGCCACGACGACCCAGCGGGCCCAAAAATCACGACGTGGATCGAATCGGTTGGATCTTGTCGGTGCTCGCCGTGCGGAAGACATAAGAAGAAGAAAGTCCATCTCTTTCCCTTTCTCGCTCGTAGGTCCCGCCCATGTGAAACGTTGGGCCCTGCTGCCAGACTGGAGCGTTTTCCAGCTCCGACGGGTCCCACTTGCATACCGGCGCATCTCTGTCTTCCACATACATATATAACTTGAAATCAAAAGGGCAATTTAAAGCCTCTGCGTAATAAAAGATCGCCACGCTAAAGCTCCGTCGAATTGATTTAACTAAACCGAGCTTCAAATCGATTTGACGGGTCATCGAGCTATCATCCACGCCAGAGCCTAAAGGACCCGACAGGACTGACAGCCCCGAGTGAGTCGTGAGAATTGGATTCCTTCGTTACACGTTCAATTCAAAATTCGAATTCTATCTGATCCAACAGCGAGTCGTGGGACTCTCGATCTCAACTTTAACGGGCGAACAAGCAAGAGGAGGAGGGGCCCGTGGTCTCGTTCGTAGGAGGCTCATCACGAGACACCCGAGGCAGTCAGAGATGGTCGAAGACCAACCCGCTATTCCTAGTTGACGTCTTTGACGAGGAGGTAATTTTATGATGAATTAATCGTTCTTTTCGTGATACAATCTCATCATTGTGACACTCAAATCGGTTCCTAGGCCTTAAAGCTTCGACTTTAATTGCATGAAGGGTGGAGAGTTGCGACTACAAGATGGATATTATTTTGGGAAAATGGTCTCAGCGTTATCGCTAATGCAATTGATAATTTATTTATAATTTAATACATGCAAGAAAATGATTCGTGCCCAGTTGTAATTTGGTGGAACAGTAACGATTTGATGAATAATTGAAAGATGATCTGGATCATAATAGGATGAGGATTTCCAGCTGAACTTAGTTGCCCTATGATTACCTGGGTCCAGTCTCGCCAACTGCAAGCTTCATGCGGCATGTATATCTTGGTTTCTTCCTCTTCCTCCTCCAAAAATAAAGCTAATAATTGTTATCTATGGTAATATATATATATATATATATATATATATATATATATATATATATATATATATGATTTGTCTTTCCATTCGTCACCCACCACTTCAGGAAGGCCGGTGCTTCCCTTTTCAGATTGACTCACGGCTCATTTACTTCGACTCTTTCGCTTTTGCTACATGTGGGCGACACCACGCCTGAGAAAGGATCGCACACAAGCATGCATGGAGAGAGGAGAGAGAGAGAGAGAGAGAGAGTTAGCAGGCTCACGTATCCAGAGGACACGGGTGGCACACATCCAAAGGATAAGGAGCAGCGTGCGACTGATGATACCCTAAATTATGCAATGAAAGGCGGCAATCAGCATTCTAATGCTGAAATCACGCTGGAGAGCATGTTCTGATGGCGAGTGAGTTGATACGTCCACCACCTTTTAACTGCACACATTGTGTTTTGATTTCTGGGATATCTCTCTCATGCTTTGTTGCAACTTTACACCCAAGAACTTAACGATCGGATTCCATTCTGTCGTGCATCTCTGTGCTCACTGCATGATCACATGGGAGGAAGGCAGGACTCAGTCAAAGCATCGCCGAGAGCAGTTTACTTGGCGATTCGCCCATACACACAGCAGTTTAATTTTTTGCTTTATAGCACAGCCTGATAATTAATGCTATGTGGACAAAATGGAAAAGAAACACTAAGGAGAAAAGTCCCACCCACTATCTATGCGTTCCATGTGGTAGTTAACCCTATGCGAAATCTTTAATTCATACAACACTACCAACAGGAGAAGGCAGAATCTTCTTCTTTCATGGCAGAATCATCAACTTGAATAGTTTATGCTGTTCTATTGTCATCTCATTGTTGCAGCTGAAGACCACTTCGATGTGCACGGTCAGCGACACGCATGACATAGGTATAACAGGGGGATTAATCTGAAGCTCATTTAGATGCACTTTGATGTTGCAAGAACATTAGGTTTAATTTAAGTGGAAACTATGGTGACAGTAAAGTTGAAACCATGTGGTGGTAGATGCATCGAGTTCTTTCATGCAAGTGCAATCAGAGATCACTTAAAACAAGGATTCTGGATGCTTAATTGCCATGTCTTTGCTTGTCCGTATGAAAACTGGACCTTTCCATTCGAACTGGGTGGTCATAGTAGACTTTAGATTAGCTTTTCCAGTTTCAGATGCGGTAGCTCTGTTAATACGAGGCATTCAGAGCCCTGCATGAGAATGCCCCCTCTTAGCCTGCTTCTAGGTTCTTAGCGTGAGCTTTCTTTTCGATGATGATGTTTTCTATTGTCGATGATGATGATGATGATGTTGCACAACTAGAAGGGTTGCAGGTTCAGCTGGGAAGCAACCAAACAAATCAGTGCACTGAAAAGAGATGTCATCCCTGAATGGGTTATTTATTGTGCAGTAGATGCATGTAATCCAGCAGATCTCTTCCCACTTGCGAGTTATGAATGCATTAGTACACCTCACTATCATTTCCATGTCGTGGAGGTCAAATGGAATTGCCGTAGTGAGTTGCCAGCAATGTCGTGGAGCTCATTTTCACCTTACTTCCGTTTCGATTACATTCAAAAATATTCGACGTCGCTCATACATGAATTCGAACTTCACACCTATCACTTGTACAACAATATATCAAGTTTTCGGATACTACCATTATGTTCCGATTCGGATAGAATTTAGTTGATAATAGTAATTTTCTTGAGGACTCTTTTCTATTCAAATTCATTTAAATCACATTTGAATATCCTTCGAATACGATTCAGATTGATTTGAATGTAAAAAATGGCAGCGTGACAATACTTTCTCTCTTCAAGACGACGTATCTGCCTCTATATGTTCGTAGATATAGGATGCAACATTACTGTGAAGCGAAGGTGTTATTCCCTTCAATGATGAGTCCACAGGAAGGCGCCCATGGCGAAGCTCCGCTTCTGCGCGACGTCTCCCATGGCGGGCAGCCCGTACTCGGCGAGCAGTCGGTCGAGCTGCCACTCTGGCATCGCCTCGTAGTCGGCCTTGCTGTATCTCGGGTAGTGCAGCGGCATCCGGAAGTAGTGCTCGTCACAGCCGTGCTTCTTTCCCAAGCGCCCGTTCGCCTCCGGCAGCTTCCTCGCCATCGGCTCCACACGCCCACCCATCTCTCTCCCTTGCTGATTCTTCCTGCTTCTCGCTCCGTCAAACTCTCCTCGAGTTCTCCTTGACGACAGGGCTCACGCTTTTATACAAGGGAGAAGGCGAGGAGGATTCCCATGAACAAAAAGAGAGGCAATGGTTTCTCTAACACGAGTGGGGTCGAGCATTTGATTTCTTGCCCTCGTTTTCGGGTAACAACATGTCAAGGATCTGTGCGCTGGAGTCCAATGAAAGAAGTGCGGCTGGTTTGGTTGCAGGAAAAAATGATGTCTTGTTGTATGTCTTGGCACCTCTCAGCATGTGAGGGTCCTTATTCTCAGGTCAATCAATAAGGCTTGAGGTGGTAGCTTGCTATGTTACTATGTGCATATAGCTGCTCTTGTAGAAGAAGAACTCCATCGATTATGATTGCTCTATTTTTCTACAGAATCAGCAACATGCATGCATGGTGACGTTTCTTTATTCCCAGAAGAACTCCTTCTTTCCTTCTCGGCACCATCTACTCCTTGCACGATAAAGGAAGACAAGGCCTCACAGCGGCCAATTTGACACTTGGAATCTACTTATCTAAGAGCAATTTGATGCATCTTCTGAACAACATAAATAAGTCAACCTACTTGGATGAGAATTCCCTATCCGAACACATCAAGAATCACAGTTTTTCCCATAGGAAGTCCCCATTCATCTGAAATGCGCTGGGACGAATAATGTGTTAGCAGACAGGGGACTTTGACGAGGAGCACTGCAACCAATGCGGACGCCGAGACAGCCACAAATTTCAACGTTGCCTTGTCTTCCATTTGGTGGTAGCATTAGCATGTTTTTGACTCGCAAATAGAACCCCGAAAGAAACCCAACTGGAAGTGGTGGCGGATGACATGGTTTCCACATCCTCGAAGATCCATTAAATCATCTTGATTTAGCTCATTTAGAAATCAGGTTTTTAGTTTACGAATCTTGACGAACGAGCACGACACTTGATTACTCGTGATGACTTGACTCCTTCGCAATCGTCGTTATAAAGGATGGTCAAAGATAGCCGTATTTGTCGACATTTGAAACATAGTTATATCTGTGACGCATAAACTAATGTTGTAAGATGAGCTCACGTAATATTTTGAAGATGTTTAATGTCTCTTACATTAACATAAACATCATGCAAATCGAGGGAAACAAGATGAAGAACTCATGACCATCCCCGTATCCGGAACTCAAAAATGCTCAATAGTACTAGTTAGTAGAGACTAATCCACTGCATATAGATCTTCCTGGTGGCCTCGACACTCGTTTGACAGCCATGCCTATTCAACGAGGAGACGACCACAGGAACGCGCCCATGGCGTATCTGCGCTTCTGCGTGACGTCCCCCGCGACGGGCAGCCCGTACTCGGAGAGCAGGCGGTCGAGCTGCCACTCCGGCATCGCCTCGTAGTCGGCCTTGGTGTAGCTGGGGTAGTGCAGCGGCATCTGAAAGCACCCGTCACCGCGGCTCTCTTTCTTCCTCCCGTTGTGCCCATGCCCATTCATCTCCGTCACCGTCCTCCTCGCCGCCGGCTCCAAGCTCTCGCTCATCTCCCTCCTTTATGTCAACACGGCCGGCCTCTCTTCCTTTCCCTTCCACTCTGGTTCCAGTAGTTCCTTGGCAGTCCTGCGGCGAGAACGGCCTTTTATAGAGCGGAAGAAGAAAAGCTTCGGAATGTAAGGACAACCAAACGTTGGTAATGCGTGTGGCTTTTGCATTGGATCGCCCAGGGCGACCCCGTGTTAATCTGGGTTGCACAAGTAGTATGTGGCTTGGAAGAAAGTGGACACTGCGCCATGGGAGGCCAATGACGCTTGTTGGAGTGGGTTGGTTGTGGGCATAAATGATGCATGAAGTTGATATCTTAAAAGTATCTTTCACTAACACTCGCCCCGTGTGGTCACACTTCTTTGGTGAATCATGTCCTATCTATATATGATGTAATAAAAACTGATCATGATATTTTTCGAGTAGAGAGGTGATGATGATGTGTGAATCGAACTCTATTTTAGGCCAACACTATCAAGTATTTGATTCGACTTGATTCGGACATGTATAGTTGGGAAAACAGGGTAAAAAAAGAAAACAAAAAAGAAAGACAAATCCCGGTTGCGTGCATCGCAAGTACATCGCACATGCATAGGTCATATTGGTGAGAATAGATATCGTAATCAACATTTATTACCACCAAAAATGGATGTGCCAAGTCACAGTTGGGAATGTTGGTGAGGATGGCGAGCACGTGGAAGCAACATTGCCCCTGACACAGAAATCTCAGATATCAGAACACCACCAACTTGCAGGAGAACCTAAAATAAAGGGAAGAAAAAGACTCACAGGAATATATTATGGGAGTCTTTAATGTGGCTCACAGTAGGTTAGAAGACAATAAAAAATAATAATAGCACAATTAAAAGAAAACAATGAAGTAAGATGAAAAAGTGAAAGTAAAAGATATCACCTGTGTTGATTCATGCAGTAAATGTAGCAAATGTGATGCAGGACAAATTGTGCAGCTGCTCACATCTTTTTTATTCTTTTGAATGAGTTCTTTGGGTCATATCTTGCAGTTGGTCATTTATGACAAACAACCAACATGTCCATGTGACCATTAAATAGCCATCCAAGAAAAAAAGATATTTCAAATTACTGTCATTGTCAGTGTTCTGAGGAAAAGGAAATGAAATGACTAAAGGATTACAAAACTTACTGCATGATGTAGAAGAAGAAGAAGAAGAAGAAGAAGAAGAAGAAGAAGAAGAAGGGTGAGAGAACATAGAAAGCAAGTTAAACCAGAATCAAAAAAGAAAACAGAGAACCCAATTATGCAAGCAGCTAAAACCATTGATTTGCATCAGCATTGATAAAAGCACATATAGAGAATTAACATCACAATGCAGGAAATGGAACGAGCTCTGAAACAGGGGAAACCCAACAGTAACCTTCAGTCACTGTCATACTGTCAGGTAAAGCACTGAATCCAAGTCCTCAGATGAGAGCAGTGGCCATTAGGTCCAACTCCAACTCAACCACCCTAAGCTCAACAAACGCATGTCTCTGTCACTTGTTGCTATGTCCTTTCGTGGGGAGGGGCATTACTCAACGCAGGAAATCACTGTAAACATCAGTGGTGGCATCCAATGCACCTTACAATGTGAATGAGAGAGAGAGAGAGAGAGAGGGAGAGAGTGTGGAGGGCGTGGACGGCACGCTATCGATATGCCGCCGATGATCCTGAGAGGGGTCTTCGTGTAGGCCACCATTAAGCTGCCTATTCCTCCAGTGGCCACATCCCACTG